TAATCGAACGTAAAGCTTGAAGAGCCCCTAACCCTACTCGCTAAGTAACCCCCAGCCCGAAATAAATCCAAACACAAAACCTCAAACAACCCCAAAGCCCAAACCCTAAGGACCCCAAGCCCAAAGAATCCCAAACCTTAAAGCATCACAAGCCCTAACGAACCCCAGCTTCTAAACTCAAAATAACAAAGGGCTCCGGTGCCGCAGGTTTGAGGTGCGAAATTGTACTTGCAAGGGTTGTTAGCAGTATTGTGCTGGCTGCAGTCCGTGTACTTTGAGGGGACAGCTCCTGCGTGCAATGCGCATTCCGCCTGAGGAAAAAGGAGTAGCAACAAATCACCAAAGGAACACCAAAATCTAGAGAACTCGACGCCCGAAAGAACATCCAGCCCTGAGCTCAAACACTGAACTTAGATCAGAAGGATCCCATAGCATAGCCCTAATCCCTAAAGAATCGCAAGCCCTAACAGCCCCAGACCATAAGCCCGCGATCCTGAAAGAGGGTTGAGATGGGTAGTGCTGAAGTTCGGCAGCCTAGGCCCTACAAGGTCGGGGTGAAAATAAGATTTAGACCACAAACCCCAACCCCAAAGCCCTCAAGTTACCAGATGTTTTCAGTGTCTCCTCGTGGCTTTCACCATACCAATTGATCGACGCCCCCAGACCCAACAAACACACCAAACGCCAGCAGTGAACAATTTCCTGCTTTGTCAGAACCGCCACAAAACCTACCAAACCCTATGAATCCCGATGTCACCCTAAATCCTGGACCCACAAACCGCACCTAAAGCCTGCACGGTAACTGTCCATCAGTGCAAGCACAACACCTTCTAATCCTGGAAATGTATCTCAGGTTTTTCGCAAGAAGCCTGAATTTGCCCTCCTAGACCCAAACAAGCACCAAACATCACTAAACCTTGGGCCTTACAAACCTCATTCTGAAGCACCAGGAAGTTCAAAGCTTTCAATCCCCTTCGACAACCGAATGTCAGAAAGTGGGAAGTAGGAAGACAGCAGCCAATTCATCAAGCCTTCAAAGATTTGCAAATAACACAAGCACAGTGCAGCATCGTCAACGCTGTTGGCCGTACATGGCGTGCACTGTTCCTCTGTTTGCCCAGGTCTGGTCTGGGAAGTCTCCCAGGCACGTGACACGACATTGCTTTGCAGGGCAATGCAGACCACGAAATGTGGCAGGAGCCGAGAGTCAAGGCACTACAGCGCAGGTCTCAGAGCAAGCAGTGCAGCTTGGCAGCACGGATCCAAGCCTTGTCACAGCTCGGCTTGAGCGCCACCCAAAACAACTCCAAACAAGCACCATGCAATGCACCCAAATTGTATGAATGGTCCAGATGAGCCGGGCCATCTCAGCTTGTTATTTGCAAGCAAGAAAGGGACAGCTGACAATGCCAAAACCCCATGTGCTTGGCCAGCGGTGGTATTGTAGGGGATCCGCAGTTATGGCATATGGGGAATCTGCTTGTATGATCCCATCACTGAATCGGGTACAGTGCAGTTTGGCACACAATTCGGAAAAAGTGATTTGAGCAAACCCCCAGATGGTTTGGAGAACATGATGTTGCCATTAAAAACGACAAGTGCATTTGGCCACGACGGCGGCATTTTTTCCTGGGTTGACCTTCACAGGGCGAACTTACGACAGTGTCTCCCTGCACGCGCTGCGTTTTCCGATATTTGTGGCGAATTGCCGGCTCAGAAAATGTTGTCTCGCTGGCATTCGCAGTTGCACTACTATGCACTAGTAGTAGCATTTTCTCATGATCTCCGTTCTTTCCACTGTCTTGTGTTCAGGCCAGCCCCTGCCAAAGCGCCCTGCCCGGCCCCAGCAACGTTTGTGCCAACATCTACAAGCCCGGAGGCTGCGTTTTGGCTATCGTATGCTATCGTCAGACTGCATGTCTTTGATGAGCTAAGGGTTTCTAGTTTCTGGTTCTATGGAAGGCTACATCTCCATCGGCTCCAGCAGTGATTCCGAAGCCTGTGAACTTCCAGGAAGCTGCACTTGGGCTATTGAGTTTGGTACTTCTTGGGTACAGCTGATTCCGTGCAGGAGAGGTTTGACAATGCCATAGCCTCCTTCACCAAGGCTGCAGACTTATCAAGCTGCAGCAATGCTGGCTTTACTGTAGGAGGTCACTACAGGGGAACCTCTGGATGCCTTTTGGCTAGTACACAACATCATCTCTGCATCCGCTGGATAGGAAAGTCTACGGCGGCGTGATGAGTAGATCTGTAATTAGCCGAGAATTTGTACGACGCAGCACGTCTTGCTACAGGTTTTGGGCCTTGTAAGCTCTCACCAAAGCCATGTACAGCAAGCAAGAGTTGTCCTTGCCTGGTGCTCAGGCGAAGCAGTCAGCAAGCCAATTCGAGGCAGATGCAAGCCGAAAGGAGATGCGAAAGCAGGTGCATAGACATGATGAGAGATGAGATATTGAAAGGCAAGTCTGTCGACAACGAATGAAACCTTGAAGGCTAAAATGACCCTCAGACGGAACATCACTGCCGTCAGCGCAGTCTGGATGGGAATCAAGGCGGGAAGTCCATCATTAACATCATTTGGATCAGCTGTGTTGTTGCAGGGCGCGACAAGTCGTCTCTTGGAGTGCATGAGGCTCAACTGTCAGGCCTCATGGTGCAACATCCAATTCAAATTCAAGACTGGCAAAGTCGGGCAACACCACTTCCCAGCGGGATGGCAGCAGTTCGCAGGATGCAGCCTCCACTGAATACATGGAGTACATCTTGGCTGACATCCTCGCTGGTCAAGCCATGCCACAGGCCAGGCAGAGATTCCTAGGAGATGATGAAAATGACATGGCATTGGGGTTGCACGGTTGCACGTGGACTGCATCTCAGGTGCAGCCATGGCCACTTGCACAGGCATCTCACATGCTTTTATTCAAACATACCGCCAGAAGTAATGCGGTTTGCTTGACCGCGCTTCGCCATGGATGCAAGGTGGCATGTCGGGTGTTCCAGCAATATCCCAGAAGCCAGGACTTGCTGGGCACCTCAACGCATGGCCATGGCCAGTGAATTACAACAGCTTTGCACTGCGCCATGTCAGGAGATTCTGACCGGTGTCCTCTGTTAGTTTCCCAGCACGTTTACTTCATTCATTGCTATGAGCTGCATGGGCCAAAGACCGAAAGCTTTTGGGTGAATTATAGCAGAGGTGACAAGTTTCCAGCCGTGCGAGCCGACTTTCGGCAGCAGCCTAGCGATGCCTGGAGCATACCCGCGCAGTGCACAGCACATCGTGTTTGTATGTGGTAGCCTCAGCCCCTTCTGCTTCCAGGCCTTTGATGACTATGTGGCGAAGTGTGAAGCCAGCCACCGGTTTTTGCTCGCACTTGCTGTCACCCAGGTGCGTTTTGAAGCAGTTGCAAATCCTCTGGCCTGTGTGCTGCATTGTTGTTGTTGCAGGGTGATGTGGGTTTGGTTTGGCACTGGATATCCCGAGCTGTGAACCAGCCGTAAGCTCCTCAGAATCGTGGCGGGGCGTCTTAAGTACCGTACTTACCTTTGCCAACGTTAAGACTTTAGAACTGACATTGCTCATCACGTTTTAATGCGAAATACTCTCAATATTCCGCAATCCTTCGCATGAGCGACTAAAAGCGTCATTGGGAGGATGAAGGATCGGTATATAGTGCCAGATCCGAGCCAGACAAAGTTGCGACTTTCTGAGGCCGCAACCCGTATCGGTAGTGCTGCTGCACACCACACTGGAAAATGCCGGCAACGATGCGCAGGACGGTTTGGTGGGCAGCTAATCACACTGTGAACTCTTGCAAGCCCCCAGCGTGGTTTTCTGGACAGGTCCGATACAAGAAACAGTTCACCAAGCTGATCATACATTTGGAGACTCGTTTTCTGGCCAAGCCACTCAGGTTCCCCTAGCTAAGGCGAATGGATGCACAGGGTACGCAGAAAATTCTTGGCATTCGGGTGAAGAAGCTATATCGACCAACATCTAGTTGAGGTGGCGGCGTCGGAACTTGCATCCAGTGGGCAGGCACTCAGCAGAGCCACGGATTCACCACCTGCCAAGTGCCTGCTTTGATGCAGGTTGGATATGAACATGTTCGAACCCGTCTGGAGCGGTTGTAGCTTGAATCGACTTAGTGGTGACATGTCCACGAGCTGAGCTGGACGCCGCAACTTCAAGCATCACTTGTTTCAAGGCGCATGTGGCTCAACAACTTCAAGAAAGAAGGAGTCGTCGCTTGGCTGCAACTTTGTGAGAGCGTCCATGGCTGTACAAGAAGAGCTGGTAGAAGCATTGAGGCAAAACCACCATCTGGCCGTCACATTACGCTGGTGCAAGAAGCTGCGCCGTTTGTCTGAAGTAGTCAAGCGATCTCATGTCCAAAACCGGTTCAGGGTAAAAAGATTCTTGAGTGGATGAGCTGCCATTTTTGAGGCCATTCGCAAAGCAATTTCGTCAAATCATGCCGCTAGAGCGCAAGAAGATGCAAAAAGTAAGAACTTGCCCAGGCTGACGGAGAACACGTGAGGCCTCAATCAAGACCTCTTCTCCTGCCGTGATGTGAGCGCACAAAATCACCGCTGGCATGTTCAACAGCACCGGTGTCCATGCTGATTCGACTGCTCCCAACCGGGGTCATAACGGCATGACGCAGAGACCGTCAGCATAAGCTTATCCAGGCAAGGAGCATGTTCACCTGTGTAGCCAGGGTCAGATTGTACAGCAGAGCTGTCACAGAGCTTCCAGGCTTTGCTCACAAATGCCTCAGCATGGCTCAGACCGAGAACACGCATGCGGTACTACTCATGACGACGAAAAAAGCCGCAGACACACATGATGTCCATCCTCCTGATATTTCCATACAGTAGCATCACTTCAAATAAACTTATCTAGCTGGACACATGGACCGGTCCAGCTGAAGATGCACACCTGTAGCCAGCCGACCATGCTTTTCAAGACAACGTCCACACCCTCTGATCGTGTTATGCAAGAGGATGAGAGATGGCGAGCTGCTAAGGCATTGTATTCCTGTTGCAGATGCGGCACGGCCAAATTTTTTTTTGGCTAGGATCAGCCAGACTCAGATGTTCGCCAGAGGAGGCGGTGGCCCAGATGCCACGTCAGAATCTGGCCTTGACGCAGTTTTTGATACTGTGAGATGGCGGGTGTACTTGGCATCTCCTTGGCGCCCCGCGCGGGCATTAGCCATTTGCTTGGCACTATGCGCAGCCTTGATTGTTGCCCTGATCACCTGGCCTACTATGCCTTCAGGTTGTGCTGTGCTTCAGCGGCAAGCTCGCCGGCGCCAGTGGGCTGGTAGATTGCTCAAGGACCTGAGCCATGTCTCAAGGCATTGGCATTGCTGTCGGATAGTATCGCAAGGAGCCCAGACTGCTCTGTCCTACGCAGACAGCGCTGGCCTGAGTGATGTGTGCCCTCCGCCAAGTTTGTCAACCAAAGAAATCCAAAGAACAGAGCAAGCGAAGGAGGGATTGAGAAACAGAGGGGTATAGAGGGGTTGTTGGACAAGGCCTTGCTCCGAGAGAGGCTCCATCTCCAATGCCTGCTGCGAAGCCCAGAGAGCAACACGCATTGTGAGATACACCAGCTCTTTGCAAACATGAAGTCAGAATCGAAAGTGACGGAAAATGGCATGATTTTCCATGAGCCTGAGGCGGAGATTGCCTTCCTGGAACCTGGGGAGGCTCAGCATTTCACAAGCGCTTAGGCTTCGTGTCTTGCATCATCTGGCTTATGTGAAGGCCCTGGCCCGCTGAATACAGGCAAGATGGTTACAGCATTACAGCAGGCCTTCTGTCCAAAGCTCTGACGATCTTGTCTAGTCTGCCTCTCCAAAGAAGCCTGTGCCGTCATCTACTCCGGCGAGGCATCATTAGTTTGTTGCTGACGCTGCAGACCTTGCCTCATGTCCTGAGAATCCAGAGGACACATGTGACTACGTGCCGAACAACGGCATGAGCGTTCCATTCATTTTCCCCTTTGGGAGGCAGGCTGCAGGCATTAGCCAGGCATCACAAGTCTCTGATTCCTTGAAGGTGTGTCTGCGACCCTGGTGATGGCCTTCTTTGGCCGACAGCACCTGGAAAGTGCCGTGCTCATGAGATCTTGAAGATTCTTAACCCTGCGCTTGCACTGCAAGATGTGCAAGCTGCTGGGATGTGCTGCGGCACAAGCTTGGGCAGGGTGTCATCAGGATGTAGGCTCTAGAGTTTGAGAGGGAAGTATGTACCTATGAATCCCACCAAATTCCAGGGCTGCATACTACCTGGGCAAAGACACATATGAATGCCACATAATTACTCTGTGAGCGAGGCAACACGAGGTCAAGAGACGTCTCTCCAAAGACGAATCCAATGCAAGGCCACGGGCCACGCCCTGACACTATCAGAATCCAGAAGGGCCTTCTTAGTTCTGAGGCATCGACGTCATGTTGTGGAATCCGAACACTCTCCTTAAGCACTTTCTGCAATGGGTGAAAACACTGGAAAAGAAGCCGAACAGAATCGGATGATGGGGTGCGACAGCAGATTGATAGCTTGCAGGCTTGCAGGACACTTGTGGAGGCTTCCGTGTAACTCATAACCAGAGTGCCTGAAAATTCAATAGTCTACGCTTCGCATGATTTTGTAGCGAAGCGCGTGGTGTCTGCTAAGCGAAGTTATAAGCAGGTCTCACAGCATTTGCGCCCAAGATGTGTTTTGGACCTCGACCATAGGATCATACTTTGGCTTGACAGAAATCTGCTGCAGCATGTAAGGTGTGCACAGGTTTCTCTCCGTCTCGCAAACGGCCTGGGGCAGTACGAGGACCAGACTGCACTATTGCTTCTGTCTTCGGAGAAGTTATGCAGATGCTGAGATGCTGCGAGTGCCCTTGCGTGTTTTCACACAACTTTCATTGGCGTGTGGCCGGGAAGCAGAATCTGCCTTCTCAGCTGTTGTGAGGGGTTTGGCTGTGGCTTAGCTGACATGGCAGAGTCAGGGCTCCAGTAGACAGCGCGGAATCCACAGACGAGAGGCGGCTAATGTATTCGCTAACGCGACACCGCCTCGGCGAGTGTGGTCGAGGCGAGAGAGCATGCTAGCAGGGACAGGACCCCCCAAACCTCCCCCCCGAACCCCAGCAGACCACCAGCCGGACCCCCCTGCCCCTCCTTGAAACCGAGAAAGACAAGTCGTCGTCGGTTAGAGGGAGGGTTAACTTACTTTCCTAGTCTCCGGATCTTGGATCTAAACGCCCCAGGCCTCCAGCCTCCTCGGATTTCATCACTGGCACGCGACAGTTCGTGAGTCAAGGCTGACCGAGACATGTCACCATGTCCAACGCGTTGTGGAAGCTCTGCAGACAATGCCCCTGCGAAAACAAGAGACCCGAGCACGGCTGAGGGCAGGGGCAGCCAAGCAAGATGAAAGATGAGGCAAGACTACTGTTCTGCTTGGGGTAAAGTATCTTTAGAGTATTTTAGAGTGGGCGACAGGTCTTGGCAGATTTGGGACTTGGTAGAATCCACGTCGTGTGCGCAACTCGTACACGCTTCGTGTCGGAATTGTAAGGGCGAGACGTAGCTTAGATTGCTTTGGTGAGAATATGTGAGAATCTACAGATGCCCGCAGTGTTCGCCGGAAGAAATACTGTCAGGGAGCTGGCAAAGCCACAGTGAGAGCTTGCGCTGGACATGTCACAGCCGTGCAAGAACGCCCGCCCGCATGTCTCATGTATCTGGAGTTACTGTAGCCCGCTGTGCGCAGGAAGCCACGTTCAACCAAGAATCCAGCCCGCTGAGTCCAAAAACTCCCATGAAATTTTGCAACGCAACAAGGCACTTCTCCAGAATGTATCTCCGGAATGTACCTGTGGTCAGTCGGATCGTTGCGAACTGCAGTACAGAGATTGGGGTCGGACTGCTGGGTATCTACCTTGGGCTTGTATCCAGAGTGCATTTGGTGCAGCTTCCAGGACTTTGTTGAGCCGAACGTGGCCCGCATGGGTCCGCGTTGAAGGAATTCAGACTGGCCTGGCGGAACTTTGAAGGGTGGCACAAATGGTTTGGCCATGGATTGTCCAGCATGTACGTAGCACTGAAAGGGGAGGCAACTAAAATGCTAAGTGCTAACCGTCTGACCCCCTGCTATGACTAACAACTGAAACAATCATGAAATGTTCTGCGCAATGACTGTAAGTCTCATGCAACCTCTTGTTTTCTCTCATGGTGCTCGCACATTCAAATTTTGCAGGATTTAGCCACAGTGCAGAACGCCACACGAACAGTTAGAAAAGATAGGCGGCAGAGGAAAGTTAATTAGATACGGAAATAACGTCGGAAACCGGCTGGCGACAACTTCCCAAAAGTGGTTCCCACTTTGCGAGCGGAAGATCGCGGAAGCTTTTGCGGAAGAACTTCGCTTGCGGAAGCGGAAGTTTGTTTTCAATCCGCCGAATCCCGAGCAAAAGCTTATGGAGATGGAAGGTTAGCGACTTCAGAAGAAACTGAGCCGTAATGTGCTTCCCCCCAACACCCACAAGCATAAAATGTAGCTCCCCTTCTACTTGCAAAGCCCTAGCGAATTCCGGGAAGGGCGTTGGAGACGCCGCAACTGGTACATCCCACACACTTCGTCACTAGAGTTGTTTTCTGTTTTGGCAATAAGGGAGCCACCACGGAAACATACGGAAACACTTTCCCGGGATCGGGTCCCTGGAACTAACAAAGTGACGGGGATTTCTCGGAAGCTCCGCGGAAGCTACGGGATGGTTTTGGGAGTACTTGGCCACTCCTTCTTTACCGCAGTTCCAATTCCCAAGTGACCGCCTCTGGTTTGAACCCTGAATAACCAGCCCAACTCCCCCTTGTTAATAAGTTATCGAGTGATCGCCTTTGGTTTCAACCCTCTAAGGCCAGCCCCAACCCCGCCTTCTTAACTAAGTTTGCACTCAATGTACGCTCGGGCTTTGGACGGACAACACCGAAGACTAGAAATCCCTTTCGC